TCTTCTTCCTCTTCTTCTTCCTCTTCTTCTTCCTCTTCTTCTTCCTCTTCTTCTTCCTCTTCTTCCTCTTCTTCCTCTTCTTCCTCTTCTTCCTCTTCTTCTTCTAGGTAGCATTCGCTACCATATATTTGGCTCGTTCACGTACCGGAACGAGTTGCCACCTCAAAGGTCTCATATCGACTGACCTAGTGATTGCCATTCCTCCCTTTATATCTTTTTTTTGGGGTTACACATTATTACTCAAACAATACTTTCGTCCATCAATTACGTAAATGTCACTTTTTTTACACACTGGTCTTCTCTTTCCTATTTTTTTTTAAATACAATTTCTTTCCGTACTCACGGTTTTATCCTCGTTGCCAATGTATTTTGAATGCTAGTTTGGTAGTCGCCGCCGTTTGTACGTAAGGTCGGCGTTCAAATCCCAAGCCACTTCTTCTTCTACCCCACCACCACACAGAAGAGAGGCGTCAAGTGGAAGCAATTCCAACTACAGTCTGATGAGGGTGCGTACCGAAGGCCTAACTTAGTCCTCTTTCCCTTCCCAGCATTTTTCTTATCAGGAAAGGATGGGAAGTGGTAGTGGACTTTCCGAATCAGAGGATGCATGGGAAGGGAAAATATTTTCTTTCTGTGCATCCTCGCCTCTGTATTCGTCGTTCGTATGTCTATGGGCAACGGTCACTTCGCTATTTCAGCTATTTCCGGTGGCCGCTTGCTCGTTTGCCACTTTATGATATAAAATATATATATTTATAGTTTAGTATGTATCTTCCAGGGGTCAATTTAAATGTGACAATGGACAGTTAATATCTGGTTTTAACCATTGCGATGGTGTTGCGGACTGCAGCGATGGTTCGGATGAGACAGTTAAAGCGTGTGCAGCAAAAGTCTGCCCTAATTATTTATTTCAGTGTGCTTACGGTGCTTGTGTAGACCAAGGTGCTGATTGTAATGGGGTGAGAATAACTTAAATTATACCTAAACTTAACTTAGTAACTTAATGTGTTTCATTTATGTATATTACTTAACTTTTTATTAAAGTGGGTTTTTAAAACTAAGGAATTTCACACCAAAGGGCTTTTATTTAGTAAGAAAATAAAGTTATTTATAATTTTAATCCTATATTATAGTGTTTTATCTCCACAGATCAAAGAATGTGCAGATAATTCTGACGAATCTGACGAACTTTGTAACAGAATATCAGGACCTGTGACAACAACAGTCAAGTAAGTTATTATAACAACAAAATCTTACTGATATTATAAACTTGCTGTCGCCCGCGACTCCGTCCCCGTGGGATATATAAAAAACTTAGTGTAGCCCACCCACCCATCCATCCATCTAAACATTCGCATTTATCATATTAGTATGTTATATAAATTCAACTCTTCAAGGCATAAATTCGAAAATAAATGAATAAATAGTATCCTATGTCCGTCTCCTGGCTCTAAGCTACCTCCTCAACAATTTTCAGGCATATCGGTAAAGCCGTTCTTGAGTTATAAATAGTGTAACTAACACCACTTTCTTTTATATATATAGAAGATGCGAAAGTTTAGATAGAAATTTGACATACATATAGAACATAGTCTGGAAGAACATATAGGCTACTAATTATGTTTTTTTATTCAGTGTACACGGAGTCGCGGGCTACAGCTAGTAAAATAATAATTATAGTAATGAGATGTCGCCCGTGACTTAGTCCGTATGGGACAAAAAAAAACTTAATTTGTAGTCTATGTGTTCTTCCAGACTATGTTCTTGTATGCCAAATTTTATCAAGATCTCCGCAGCCGTTCTGGTGATACCTTCAAACATCCATCCATCTAAACATTCGCATTTATAATATTAGTAACATAAAAAAGACTCGTTACTCTAATAAATCCATTTAACGACAGCGCAACCGACAAGAATCTTAGTACCAAATATTTTCTTCCAGACCTTTAGCTACTGGTCCTTGTGTACTACCACCATACCCTGAACACGGATCATATGTGGTGCAGGGAGCGCCCACAGCATCCCCAGGACAAGGCTTCAAGAGTTTCGCTTTAACTGTCAGCTGTTACCCAGGATATGCATTGGATGGGTCACAATCTGTCCTATGCTTTGATGGGACATGGGTACCTCCTATGCCTAAATGTATACGTAAGTATTCACCCAAAGACCTAGCAATTTGACTTGTAATCTGCATGTCCTGGGTTCGAATCCCGTCATGTACTTGTGTGCTTACATTTATCCGATGTTACGATGAAGGATGGAAGGAAGGATGTGTCAAGTGAGTGCACTGGGTCAGCATTGACTATGGCCTAACTTAGGGTAGACTCCGAGACCCTCAGTAGGTATAGTGAGCTGATGATGATGATGATATTAATCCATGACCTAGGGTAACATGTCTTGATATTTTCTTTGAATATTATTTCCTTGAATCTATTATAGACCAAGATCCTATGTTCGGCAGACTTAAGTGAAATCGACAAAGCCTCCTAGAGTTAAAAAAAGGTTTCAGATTAAAAATAAATATATTTACGTCCCATTGAATTTTAGGAAGAAAATCCGACACAGTGCCGGTGTATCGCAACACTAGCCTTACTAAAATGTCGACGTTCATGTCCCCTCACTAATCATTCTGACACTTAACTTTGTAAAACCAGATTATATGTCTTTTTCAACAGGTTATTGCAAATTACCACCTCATCCGAGTGTGGAATACCGCTGTCTACTCTCCAATCAGGCAGGAGTCGAAGGCAGTAGACCTTGCAAGGAGTATGAACCAACAGGCACTGTCGTCAAACCTGAATGCAGACGTCCTAATTACTACGCTGCTGGGACTTTGCCCTATATGAGATGTTCAGAAGGCACCTGGGACTATACGGCTTTTTGTACTGCAGGTTTGATAAAAAATGCCACTAATGTTACTATAATTATAAAAGATAACGTCCAAATACACATCAGTCAGTTCCAATACGCTTCACCTATAACACTGGTTTTCCCAAATTCGGTTGAACCGATTGTAGACAAACCTATATCGGTTCAACCGAAACCTGGAAATCCTATTTGGATACAATTTAATGAGGCCGAATCGTTTACTATTCAATCTAATGACGTCAAACCTAATTTGGCGCAACCTAATGATGTCAAACCTAATTTGGCTGAACCTAATGATGTCAAACCTAATTTGGCTGAACCTAATGATGTCAAACCTAATTTGGCTGAACCTAATGATGTCAAACCTAATTTGGCTGAACCTAATGACGTCAAACCTGATTTGGTTCCGTTTACCAATAGACCTGTTTCAGTTCAATCCAACAATATACCCACTTCTGTATGGGATTTATTTACTGATAGACCAATTTGGCCGCCATTGACTACAGATTTACCGAATTTCCTTCAAATACAGCCGATAAAACCTAAAGAAAATTCTAATGAAAATACAGATTATGATATAGATGGAAATAATTGGCGAATAGGTTTTAGTACGAATAAACACAATAATTCAACTAAAATTGAACTGACAAACGAGAATGACACATTTCCAGTAAATCAAAATGGTGTTATACAATTTAAAAATTAGTTATAGTCTAAGAGCCAACTAAGAAATAAAATATAAAGTATCTGAATGACCGGTACTTTTTTTTTAATTGTGTTTTTTTGGAAATTATATTTAAGTAGGAATTACTAATAAAATGATGAAATATGAATAATATTTTTCGATCTTACCGATAGAAAAAGTTAAATTTATGTTTAAGTTGATTATAGATAAAACACGAATAAAATGACATTTTTCTAAAAATGATTCCTAGCTAGATCTATTTATCGCCCCCGAAACCCTCTATATACTAAATTTTATGAAAATCGTTGGAGCCGATTTCGAGATTCCAATTATATATATACAAGAATTGCTCATTTTAAGATATAAGATTAATTCAGCCACATAAAATATTTATATATATATGCTATGCCAACATTTTTATATTACACTAGTGGTTGCCCGCGACTTCGTACGTGGAGAAAAAAAGTAGCCAATAATATCGTCAAAATCGGTCCAATCGTTCCTGACATTAAGACAAAAAAAATGGTATGTCATTTTTAATTTCGTAAATATATCATAACTAGCTTTCGCCCGCGACTCCGTCCGCGCGGTATTAAAACTAGATGTCGTCCGATTCTCAGAGCTACTCAATATGCTCACAAAATTACATGAGAATCGGTCAAGCCGTTTCGGAGCAGTATGGGAACGACAAATTGTGACACGAGAATTTTATATATAAGATAAATGAAATATGCATTTTATTTTCAATATTACATACAGACAGTAATATTTAATTAATATGTATAGATAATATTTTCAGCACAATACCAAAAAAAAACATTTTTTTAATATGACTTATTATGGTTTATTTTATTTTATAATTGTTTTAAATTAATAATCGTCAAATTAAAATAAATTTTATTCATAAAATAAAAGATTTGGTTTATGATTTTATCCTTTTTTATTAAATCAAAATTATTATATCCTTAATAAAGTTCCTAAAACTAGAATTAATTTATTATGTGATTTTATTACTTAATGAAAATGTATTGATTTTTAACTAATACTTGGCTAAATTAATATATGTATAGTTCTTATATTCTTAAGCATAGTTAAATAGAGACTAGATATAATTATTATAAAAAAATTGATCTTTCATAAATAGATTTAGACTATTGTGTAAGAATTTGTGCTTAAAAGTCAGTCTTTTAACTCTAAAAGTCAGTCTCTATAACTGAAAAAGTCAGTCTTTCAACTCAAAAAGTCAGTCTTTTAACTCCAAAAGGCAGTTTTTCTCGTGTTGGAATATTTGTCTCCAAAGTGTAGTTATACCTGCATTACATCCAAATTGTGATACTGTTTTTTTGCTCGATTATATTTACAATACCAAAATGTATAGTTCCTATTATTTAAAAAACACATATATAACTCAATTTTATATTAGAATTAATTTAGTTAGAGTGTCAATAGCCTAATGGTTAAGAGTACGGATTTCCGATCACGTGGTCGTCAGTTCGAATCCCGAGATTCGACTATTGTATGCCATATCCGAGCACAGGCTTAGTACGTATGGTACAAGATATATTAGCATATTTAGAAGACAGGCGTCAAGTGGAAGCAATTCTGCGTTTCGTCTGATGAGTGTGCGTCCTGGAGGCCAAATTTAGTCCTCTTTCCCTTTCCTTTTCTTTATAAGGAAAGGATGGGAAGTGGAACTGGACTTTCCGGATGAGAGGATGCATGGCAAGGGAAAATATTTTCTTTCTGTGCATCCTCTCCTCCGTCGATTAAAGGTAGGCAACGCATATGCGATTGCGTATGTCTATGGGCAGCGGTCACTTCGCTGTTTCACCGATTTCGGGTGACCACTCGCTCGTTTGCCACCTTATCAAATAAAAAAAAATTAACAAAGTACGACATGATAGATTTTTTTTTAGTAGATAAAAAAAACAACAAATAACACAAAATAATTTATTTATTTTTTAATAACAATGTAAAAAATTACATTTACTTTTCATATAAAATCTGTAAACGTGATTTTATCAAACAATATTAGTCATCTTCCAGTTGATTTATATTTACTAGCTGTCGCCTGCGACTCTGTCGGTATTAAAACATAGTAACCGATTCTCAGAGTTACTAAATATGTATTATAAAATATCATACAAATCAGTCAAGTTGTTTCGAAGGACGTGATTATATGTCCTTCGAAACAACTTGACTGATTTTTATGAAATTTTATAATACATATTTAGTAGCTCTGAGTGATATAAGTCGATTACGACGTCGTAGGGGCTGACAATTTAGTCCTAAGAGCTCAACAAAATATGACGAGAATATACATTTTTATAGTAAAAAAATATTAGGGAATGTCCAATAATCACGTGATTCTCGAAATCACGAAACATCACGAGATGGGGGAAACTAAAATATCACATGATTTTTCATTGCCGACGTAAAATCACGCGACTTTTATTTATATTTTATTCTTATAATTTTATTTAAATATAGATAAGTAAATGTACATCAATATTGTTAACAGGATGGATTGATATTTATTAAATAAATTTTTTTATTATAAAATAAAGAAATAGTTTAATTTAAAACCCTATTCCTCCACCCTGTTAATAATAAATATATTATTATTATATCTTTATATATATAATACTTCTGTGAGTGTGTATGTCACTGAACTTCTCTCAAACGACTGGACAGATTTTGATGAAATTTTTTGTGTGTGTTCAAGGGGATCTGGGAATGGTTTAGATTCACAATTTTGTCCGCTGGACAATGTTTTTTTAATTAATTTTTTAATTAATTAGTAGTTGTTGATTTTGGAATGTTTTACATTGGATCCGACAGACGGCGCTACCATCGCAGTGTCAAATTGTCAGACAACGTCTGTCGGGTCCGCTAGTATTATTTAAAATTTAAAATTGAATAAATATATCCGGAAATAATTAAATTTATTTTATAGCATTTCTTAAAACCTCTTTAGTCAAAAATATTAAATTTCTTCATTAAAATAAAAAAAGCGTAATATTATTACAGTATTATGAATTAGTTTAACAAATATTCTTCTTATAATCTACTAGCTGTCGCCCGCGAATCCGTCCGCGTGGATGTATAACTTAATATATAGATAAGTTAAATAAAAAGCACCTCTTCAAGGCATAAATTCTAAAAAAAATGAATAAATAGTATCCTATGTCCGTCTCCTGGCTCTAAGCTACCTCCTCACCAATTTTCAGGCATATCGGTAAAGCCGTTCTTGAGTTATAAATAGTGTAACTAACACCACTTTCTTTTATATATATAGATTTAAATTTCAACAATTAAAATTAATATTCCTAAATTAAATTTGACAAAAATGACGAAATAATCAAACTAAATAACCAAATGAACACAATTATACATTAAAATATTGTATTTAAAAACAAAACACAGAAGTAAAATGATTTAACATAATAAAAAAAACACAACAACACCACGAGATCATTTAAGACAGACTGACTTAACCACACGTAAGCTTGTATTATTTCCTCCAATTTTAACTTAAGGTGTATTTCCACTGAGCAAGTATCCGCGTCTGCTTTATTGTATACTAGTCCGTCCGCATGAATAAAACTTAATCAGTTCGCCAATTATTATAATTTATCTCACCTTTAAAACCTTCCTTAGACTTTACGAACATTTTAAAACCAAGATAAAATAAATCCGTTCAGCCGTTCTCGAGTTTTAGCGAGACTAACGAACAGTTATTGATTTTTTTATATAAAAGGATAGTCAACTGATAAAACAGTGGTTGTGCCACTCTCTTTATTTATGAATAACAGTATAAAAAAATCAACTTTATAAATCTTCAAACATATAGCTTGGGGATTTTTTTACGTAACTATTTCCCCCACGATATCACACTTTTTAGTTAATTCCACATCATTGGGAAACTTTATGTTTATTAGGTGTCGCCCGCGACTCCGTCCGCGGGGAATTAAAAAAAAATTAGTAGCCTACACATAGGCTTTTTTATTATATATTTAAAAACCACTATAACTTCAAATTAAATATTATGGCCAATATATGCATATTAACGGAGAATTCTAAAAGAAACTTTTATTATAACTCGAACTTGAGACCTGCAGCGACCACAAGGGGGCGTTATCACCCACTTTGGGAAAGACTGGTCTAAAGACTAGCTGTCGCCCGCGACTCCGCCTGAAATTCATTCAGTCGTTCTAGAGATACCTTATTTTTTACTAATATTATAAATGCGATTGTTTTGATAGATGTTTGTTAGAAGTTATCTTCAAAACTACTAAACAGATCTTGCTAATATTTGGCATAGATGTAGAACATACACTCATTACGATTTTCCTAACTCCACGCGGAGTCGCGGGCGACAGCTAGTCTTTATATAGCAGTCTTTCCCAAAGTGTGCGATAACGCCCCCTTGTGGGCGCTGCAGGTCTCAAGTTGCGGGTTATAGCAAAAGTTTCCTTTACAATTCTCCGTTAATTTACATATATAGGTTACAATAATTAATTAATTTAATTTGAAGTTATAGTGGTTTTTAAATTTGTGAAAATATGGGGGGCGCTAAAAAAATATTTATTCTCAAAGTGGGCAGTAGACAAAATAAGTTTGGGAACCACTGATTTAGATAAAATATTTTGATGATTAAACATCCCTTCTGACAATATCATGTTTTTACGTTCTCCGATTGGACAAAATTGGACGATAATTTATAGATAAATAATACGTATTTTTGGTTAAAATTAGCTGTATTGTTACCCACAATATTTGTGTCAAAATTCACGTGTATAAGTTCGCGTAATTTCCTCAAAAGGGTTACAAAGTATTTACGTATTCAATGATTTTACAAACACGTTGAGGCAATACAAAAACAATTCTTGTTAAACGTCTATCGGAGCTTTGGCCGTAGTTTTTCCCCCTGCTAGTAAATACCCATACGTATTTACCCAACGTTAACTGAGATAAAATTATGTCGCCGTAAGATTGTGAATCCCGTCAACTTATAGTCGGTCTAGAAATATTACAAATGTCAGCAAAATTCTGAACAATTAATTTTATTACTCACATGTTTATCTTGCTAATATTTTAAATTCGTATTTTGATGGATAAATGGATGTTTGTTTGAAGGCATCTTCAGAACGGCTGTATGAATTTCGCTGAAATATGTCATATATAGAACATAGTCTGGAAGGACACATAGACTACTAATTTTTTTTCGTTCGCGCGGACGGATTTGCGTGCGACGGCTAGTATTTTATAAAAATATATTATTGCTGGGTTAGGTTTTTTATTACTCCATAAAAATTTAATTAAGAAATACTTGATTGGAAAATATCAAAACGTACGCCTTTGATTTGTTATGTTACATACAATCTGCAAGTTTATCGAATTTCAAACTAGCGAATTTCATAAACTGACTATCACATATAAATCGTGAACTCTTAAACCTCCTTCACAATTATTGTTGTTAGAAGTATTGATAACCACATTTTAACAAACAAAGACTATTGTAAGCAGTTTTCCTTGAATGAATTTACGTAGTAATATACATACTAGTCTTATCGAATAAGGAACATAAGAACAAAGTTAGAAATACTCCGTTACTTGTACTTTTTTTTTATCAAATAGAATCAAATCAAGAATAAAAAAAAAACATAATTAGTACCTTATGTGCTCTTCCAGACTATGTTCTATATGTATGCCAAATTTCATCGAGATCCTTTCAGCCGTCCTGGAGATACCTTCAAACAAACATTCATCTAAACATTCGCATTTATAATTTTAGTAAGATTTAGGGGTTACCAGTTCATAGTTAATGCTGGTCCAATGCGTGACTTCACACATATATTTGAATTTATTCACGTTGCGTCGTTCGTTTAGTTATTTAATATTGTTATTTAAAATACTTTGTTGTACTTAGTCTTCCATTCTCCCACAGAATGCGGCAGGGTAACACCGGAAGGGGAATTCCTTATAATCAACGGTACTAACGCGGAGCGGGGAGAGTTACCCTGGCACGCAGGGATTTACTTAAAAGCTGCTTCACCGTACATGCAAATATGCGGGGGATCACTTGTCACCACTAATGCCGTTCTATCAGGTGAGTTTACACTAAGGAGAGGTCTCCGAGACTCACCGACATACAATACTCACCAGGTGATTCGCAGAATACCCCTCTGGCTGTCTTTTTTTATATAATTAGGTGGCAAACGAACCAGTGGCCACCTGAAATCACTGAAATAGAGAAGTGACGTTGTTAAAACGTGCTCTACCACTGTTAAACTGTGTCTTTGTTAGACCGGTCGAGTTGGTTCTTGCAACATATTTGTCTAAACACAATAATAACATTACAATTTCAGCCGCCCATTGCTTTTGGGACGACACAAATAAGCAGCGCCCCGCAGAGCTGTACGCGATCGCTGTGGGCAAGCTCTACCGCCCTTGGAATTTGAAAGTAGATGTTGACGCGCAGAAAAGTGATGTAAGTTTCCATACAAAACTGAAATTAAGAAAAACAGTATTATATTTAAAACGCGGACTAATCGATTATAATCAAATCAAAATTGTTTGATTATAAAATAATAAAAAAATAATTGCAAAACACTGACGTAAGTTTCGCGCTATTAAAATAAATGCCTCCATGAAAATTCATTTTAAGAATTAAGTGTGATAATTCGAATGTCTAGTACATTTTCATATATATGTGGATCCTAATTTAAGCGTCAATAGCCTAATGGTTGAGGATACGGATTTCCGATCACGAGGTCGGGGGTTCGAATCCCGACATTCGACTATTGTCGTACACCATATCCTAGCACAAGTCTACAGCTTAGTTGGTATGGTAAAAGAAATATTAGTTACTTTACAAAAAAAATCTGCTAATATTTAAAAAAAACAATAAAAAAATTATACTAGTAATATTTCCTTACACATAAAACATCTTTATTTTATCTATACTATCTTACTAATATTATAAACGCGAATGTTTAGATGGATGGATGTTTGTTAGATGCTATATGCGGAACGGCTCAACGATTCTTAAAGAAATTCATCACAAATGTAGAACATAGTCTGGAAAGATACAGGCTTTCTTTTAATTCCGCACCGACAAACCTGCAGGCGACAGCTAGTTAAAAATAAAATCTTAATTAGCCTATGTGTTCTTCTAGACTATGTTCTCCGTCTATTTCAAATTTCATCAAGACCGGTTAAGTTTGTTCCTGAGATACTTTCTAACAAACATCCATCTAAAGATTCGCATTTATAATATTAGTAAGAAGATAATGCATTTTTAACTCCATCTTTGTATGTATTATGTATTTTATGCTATAAATAAAACTTTTTAAGGTAAAAGAAATCAAAATCCCGCCTCGTTTTCAAGGAGCAGCATCAAACTACCAGGACGACATAGCTTTAGTTTTATTAAAGACTAGGATAGAATACAAATACTACGTAAGGCCGGTGTGCTTGGACTTTGATATCAACTTTAACAGACGTCAATTGCAACCGAATAAGTTGGGCAAGGTAAGATAACTAAATTAACCCTTAAACCCTTTTTTTAATTCAAGTCTTATAAAAATCTATATCATATCTGTCGTCCGCACCATTCGCGCGGATTTAAAATAAATTCCAACTGGATACCTTTAAGCGTTCCCGAGAAAAACGGCCTTGATAGACAGACAGGCGGACAACAAAGTGATCTTATAAGGGTTCCGTTTCTTTCCTTTCCTAGGAACGGAACCCTAAAAAACATAATTAATAGCCTATGTATTCTTGCAGGCTATGCTCTACATGTAAAATTTCAGTGAGATCGGTTAATCCGTTCTGGAGATACCTTCTAACATCCATCTATTTAAACATTCGCATTTATAATATTAGTAAGATTGATTTAATCCAATTCCCTCTATTTCATTAAAGTATTTACGGATTTAAGATAAAAAAAATAGTTTTAAACCGTGGCACCCTGGAGTTAATCTTGTATGGAACAACTCTGAAATAGACTTTAATTCAATTTTGCTTATTTCCTTTACTATTCTTAAATAAAATAATAACATATTCGAATTTATTTATTTATTAGCATATCGATATACGCTTACAAGCAGACTCAGAGTGGCTAAATAGACATTAATTAAGAGAATTCTACAATAAGGGATAGTGTTACTGACCAAAGACAGTGTCTGTAGTAGTAAATACTTTATAACTTCGAATATTGTCTGTCAGGTGGCAGGCTGGGGTCTTACGTCAGTGAACGGCGCAGCAGCTGGCGTATTACAAGTAGTCAATATACCTTATGTATCTATAGAGAAATGTATCGCAAATGCGCCTCCTGGATTCAGAGAATATATAACTAGTGATAAAATATGTGCGGGATACGGTAATGGTGAGTATTGTAACATGTTACAGTTTAATTGTGAAATTGAACATTTTTAAGTCGGTGTAGTATTATATTGTAAGGAAATTCATAACTTCGAATCTGAAGTGTGCTATTTTTTACAGATTTAAGGCCTATTGTAATTTTTAAAAGTTTGTGTGGTAGTAGCTTTCGCCCGCGAGTCTGTCCGCGCGGTAATAAGAAAACATAATTAGTAGCCAATGTGTTCTTCCAGACTATGTTCTATATGTATGCCAAATTTCATCGAAATGCGTTTAGCCGTACTGGAGATACCTTCAAAAAAACATCCATCTAAACATTCGCATTTATAATATTATTAAGATTGGTTAAAGCCGTAACTGTTGTTGCTGTGTTGTTAACTTGTCTTTTATTATGTAAAAAAATAGGATGACAATAGTTTTTTGTTATGGTCGTGTATTCAAAAGTAATTTTGAACTGAATATCCGTTACATTCATATATTCTTTTTCTCAGTTCAATTTCCTAACAGTTTGTATATTTAGACCGATTTAGTAATACCCAAATTCACAATTGATCTGTGACGTAAAAAAATTTACAGGTACAGCTCTCTGCAAAGGTGATAGTGGGGGTGGGCTCGCGTTTCCCGAACTAGATAAAGGTATAGAGAGATTTTATCTCAGAGGAATTGTATCCACGGCGCCGAGTAATGAAAATCTTTGCAATGCCAACACTTTGACAACGTTTACAGATTTATTAAGCCACGAACATTTCATAAAAGAACATTTGCAATTGGACTAGACTACTTGCGTCTAATATTGCATCCGATTTTCATTAGGTAACTTCGAAAATACCTGAATTATAATTACTAGATGTTGCACGCAACTCCGTCTACGCGTTAAAAAAACATAATAAGTAGCCTATGTGTTCTTCCAGACTATGTTCTTATATCTTTCAGTGAGATCCATGCCTCGATTTTGTAGATACCTTCTAACAAACATCCATTACTAGCTGTTGCCCGCTACTCCGTCTGCGGATTTTGAACATACAATTAGTAGCCTATGTGTTCTTCCAGACTATGTTCTATGTGTGCCAAATTTGATTGATTTCCAGCAGTTCTGGAGATACCTTCTAACAAACATCAAACATTCGCATTTATGTTAGTAAGATTTTTGTTATGTTTATAAAAATGTACTTATTTTCTCCATAAATAGTAAGTCTCTGGTCTAATCAAGTTGGCTATCCCTGACTTATGATAAATACTGGAGAGTTGTTAACGTAAGATCTGTGCCATAGACAACAAAATGCGTATTTTATTTTTATGCGTCTTTTTTTATTTACTTATACAATATTTAGTATAATATATTTTTGTGTAATTTACAATTTTTTTGTACAAAATAAAGGTATTTTTTTACGTACAAATGATGGCAGAATGTACATAAAACTTTTGTCTTTTTTGAAATGTCAACTGTCAAAATTATAGTTGTCTCTCTCTTACACACGCATATCAATATGTTTTGTCTTCGATCTGATGATAGTTCGTCAATTTTAAACGTATGTTTAATCTGTGGTTAGTGACGTATAAGCTCAATTAATTTTATACATTTTTATAGTATATTTTTTTTAATCTTTAAATTACTTTCATTTACACCTACACAATATTGATTCCTTCATCATCATCAGCTCACTATACGTCCCCACCGAGGGGCTCGAAGCCTACCCTAAGTTAAGGGTGATTAGGCCATAGTCAACCACAGGCCAAGTGCAATGACTTCACACATATCTTTAAATTTCTCAGATATGTGCAGCATCACGATGTTTTCCTTCACCGTAACATCAGATAAATATACATATGTAAATCGGAAATCGAAACACATTAGTACATGGCGGGATTCGAACCGAGGACCTGCAGATTGCAAGTCGAGTGCTGAAACCACTGAGCCATCCACGCTCTTAATTGATTCCTTATTCCTTTTATATTATTATGTATAGAAAAAAATCATAATCGATTTCACTCAACCCATATCTCGTAAATGATTATAAAAGAATTTGCCTTAACATCTCTTTTCTCTTTTATTTTTGTGCTCTGTATATCTATAGATTATAAATCTATGACTGTTTTCAATGACCATTTAATTAATATCTCGTGTATTTAATTGTAAAAAGCTAAACTTACTAATGCATTTTCCATGTTGACGTGACAAACTAGATGTTATGAAAATTGCAGGAAAGTTTTTAGAATTATATAAAAGACTAGCTGTCTCCCACGACTACGTCCGCGACGTATTAAAAACATAGTCTATGTGTTCTTCCAGATGTTCTACATCTATGACAAATACCAACTAATCCATAAACCATTCTGGAGATACCTTCTAACAAACTATTTCCTTAAAGGCCGGCAACGCATCTGCAGTTCCTCTGTGTTGCAGATGTCCATAGATGTCGTTGATCACCTCGGTGTTCTCACCGCTCGTTTACCCCTTCTCTTATAAAAAAAATATCCATCCATCCAAACATTCGCATTTATAATATTAGTAAGATTTATGACATTTTAATACATTCGACAGCCTTGAACTATTAAAGAATTAACAACACGAAAGGCTGCTAACCGTTGGTTAATAAAACCAAAATCTCTGTATAAAACATATCGTAGTCCCTGTCATTTGACAAAACAGATATATGTTTTAAACGTATATTTTGTTATCAGAAACACACGGTATAGAATTAAGTCACCTCTCAATAAGAGCTCGGTGACAATAACGAAGTAACAGCCCGAGCCGAGGCTCCTGAGGGAGCCCTCGAGTCTTGTTACTCTTAAACGAGGTTTAACGAAAGAAGATTGCATGTAGCTGAAATGCGTATGCTAAGATGGATGTGTGGTGTGACAAGGAAGGATAAAGTTAGAAATGTGTATATTAGAGGAAGTTTCAAAGTAGTGTCAGTGATCGAGAAATTGAGGAGTAAAAGATTAGCGTGGTTTGGACATGTTATGAGGAGGGATGATGATGATATAAGCTAAAAAGTAATGAGATTGAATGTGGATGGCTACAAGGGTAGAGGAAGACCAAAAAAAGTATGGAATGACTGTGTGAAAGAGGATATGCGTAAGAAGGGGGTAGACTCGGATATGACGGCTGATAGAGATGTATGGAGGAGTAGTACATACGGTGCCGACCCTCGATGGGGATAAGGGCAGGTTGATGATGATGAAACGAGGTTCAGGCTAAGCGACATCTGCGCTCGGCCTCAAGCCCGGTGAAGCTGTAAATACCTCGTTAAGGCAAACAGTGACTACTCAGACACAAAAAAGTGCTAGAATATTTATTAATAAAATGACTAGATGGAAATATTTGATAAAATGTGTAAAAGAATTCTGTCTTCAAACTAATATAAATGGATTCAACCATATCGCAATGCCTAGAAGACATTGGTTGGAAAGGTGAGATATCAAAGATTTATATTTAAACATTCCATGGCTTTCTGATACCAAAATCCAGGAATTATTTATAACTTAATTTGTAGCCTGTGTTCCTCCAGACTATGTTCTACATATATGCCAAATTTCATTGAGATCGGTTCAGCCGTTCTGGAGATCATCAGCAACATACGTCCCCACTGCGGGTTAAGACAACCACGCTGGCTCAGTGCGGGTTGACTTAACACATATCTTTGAATTTCATCGCAGATATGTGCAGCATCATGATGTTTTCCTTCACTGTAAAAGTTCTGGACATACCTTCCAACAAACATTCGCATTTATAATATTAGTAAGTGAACTTTCAGGCTATTTTTCTTTATTAATTAATATATTTCAGAGTATTATGGGTTTTGATATCTGGTTCCGCTATATGGGGTGTTGTGGAAGTCTCTCTAGGTCAGTTCCAAAGGTACAATGAGAACCCCACTGTAGTTACATTGGAAAAGGACTTCCGATCTTGGCGTTTCGCTCTACCAGGTGTGACAATATGTGATCAGGTGAGCTATCATGTTCCTTTAAACACTATTAACTATTTTATAATATTAGTAAGATGGGGGAACATGTCAAGAATTTTCCTCCAGAACAGCCATCTCACAGCAAAAGTTGGTAGTTATCAGATGTTTTCTATGTGGTCAGGATCGAGTGAACCCAGAGAAGATGGTTCAAGTAATCAAGAAACATTGGCAAGTAAAACCTGGAGACAACAAGTATGCTTATTACAGCCGCTTCGTGACCACTGTCGCTAACTCTGACCTGTTCCATCTAGACGGATACCAGGAGTTCATGCATGATGAGGAGCTGGATGTGGATTTGTACCAACTGACTATTGATGTAAATTGTTTATGTTATTATCTATATATATAATACTACCAGCTGTCCGCGAGTCCGTCTTATATCCTATTAAATAAACAAAACATGTTTTATATCATAAGGGTGGACAACGAACGAGCGGCCACCTAAAATCGCTGAAACATCGAAGCGTTGCCCATAGACATACGCAATCGCATATGCGTTGCCTTTAATCGACGGAGGAGGGGATGTATAGAAAGAGAATATTTTCCCTTTCCATGCATCATCTCACATCCACTTCGACTTCCAATCCTTTTTTTAAAGAGAAAGGGTGGGAAGGGAAAGAGGAAACTAAAATTAGGCCACCAGTACTAACAGCCTATGTGTTCTTCCAGACTATGCTCTACATCTATGACAAATTTCATAAAGATCCATACAACCATTCGCATTTATAATACTAGTAAGATATAAATCTAGGTATCACCTGAACAACAAGTGAAGACGACCTGGTCTCGGGATATCACCGCAAAATGGACACCGGTTATGACAGAAGCCGGCGTATGTTACAGTATAAACTCGGTAGCAACTGCAGATGTCGCTATGTAAGTTTTACCGTGGGTTTCCGAGATCAAAATTCTCATATAAAAGAAAAAAATTGTAACAATCACATTAATCATCATCATCAGCTCACTATACGTCCCCACTGAGGGGCTCGGAGCCTACCCTAAGTTAAGGGTGATTAGGCCATAGTCAACCACAGGCCAAGTGCAGTGACTTCACACATATCATTGAATTTCTCAGATATGTGCAGCATCACGATGTTTTCCTTCACCGTAACATCAAATAAATGTACATATGTAAATCGGAAATGGAAAAACACATTGGTACATGTCGGGATTCGAACCCAGGACCTGTAGATTGCAAGTCAAGTGCTTGACCACTGAGACACCGACGCTTGATTCACATTATTAGTAAGATTCAACTTTATTTGTCGCAATTCTTTATTAATAATTTCAATTCCTTCCAGTAATAACACAGGAATTGTAACTTTTGATCCATTTACATGTAAATATTCATCTCTAAGCTGTTACGTTATGTTTGAATCTCCAAAACCAATTGATGTAAGTACATTTCGACAAAAAACCCTTAAGGCTAATATAAAATTAATTAAAAAAAAATAAGATTGTATTGTCTATGATATTCTATTTCTAAGTATATAACTAGCAGTCATCAACGACTAGGTCTAAATAAAATAGTAGCCTATGTGTTCCAGACTATGTTCTATATGTTAGCCACATTTCATCAAAATCCGTTCAGCCCTTCCGGAGATACATTCAAACAAACATCCATCTATATTTCTTGTACCATTCCAACTAAGCTCTAGACTTGTGCTAGGATATGGTTTACAATAGACGAATGTATATTCGAAACCCCGACCTCGTGATCGGAAATCCGTACACTTAACCGTTAGGCTATTGACGCTTAATTTGCATTTATAATTCGTAGATTTACGTTCATTCTCCATATGATATCATGGAATTAACAAGTCTCGTATCTCGGACATTCTTAACACTGAACCGTATAACTGAACTCAGCGTAATGGAGACACGAACTGGTAGAGAAGTTAGGATTCTTCGTCCGCAGCGAAGAAGATGTTTGTATAACGACGAACCTATGGGTAAAGACAGGCAGGTAATGTTTAGACACGGCCCCACTCTTGAACCCCAAACTTTATTTAAGCCATAAAATTCCTCAAATTAATATTATTGTAAATTCTAAAATGGCGACACACTTTTGACTATAGCCATCAAATTAAAAAACCTTAAAGAGTTGAATATGGGACTTTGAAAATTCCAAGATGGCCGCCGATGCAAAATCGTGTAACGGCGGGCATCTTCGTGTTATAATAAACGCGGGCGATGTAGCAGCTACTGAACGGCTTTATTAGGAAAGGAAGTGGAAGTGGATTTTCCGGATGAGAGGATGCATCTTAACAGCGGTAGAGCAAACTTTAACATCTTCGTACGAATTGGTTCGTCCGGTGAAATACCACGACCACACAGATGACACGTCTCAAGTGGAAGCAATTCCAAGTACATTCTGATGAGTGTGCGTCCCGGATGGCTTATTTAGTCCTCTTTCCCTTCCCACCCTTTTTCTTAGGACGTTGAATGTTTTGTAAGTATGGGAAGTGGAAGCGGACTTTCCGGATGAAAGGATGCATGGAAAGGGAGAATATTTTCTTTCTGTGCATCCTCTCCTCCGAGGATTAAAGGTAGGCAACGCATATGTAATTGCGTATGTCTATGGGCAACGGTCACTTCGCTATTTCAGCGATTTCAAGGAGCCGTTCGCCACCTTTTAGTAAAAAAACATACATCTAAATATTCGCGTTTATAATATTAGTAAGATAGTAATAAATTTAAACTTCACAGGTGTATAGTACAAATACATGTCGTCTTTCCTGTCGTATTAAACTTGCATTACAATTGTGTGGATGTCGACCTTTCTACTATTTCTATGCAGGTGGGTTTTTATTCACATTTATCAAAAACTAACAAAAATAACCTCAAATTCTATTCTAGAAGGATCTCGTTTTGTTTAATATATTAAATTAATATCAACGCCATCTATTTGTACGTTTTAAAACTATTTTACAACTCCGCATAGAATTCGCTTTGTTGGTAAAATTTTAACAAAAGATGGCGTTCTTTTATAAAGTAATTTTTTGTGTTAAAGAAATAAAACGTTCGCTCAAACAAGAAACTTATGGCTTAGTTAACTAGAAATTAAGATTAAACGGATATGAATTAAATAACAAAAAAAATAGGGTAGACTCTGAGCCTCTCGATGGGGATGTATAGCGAGCTGATGATTGCTTGCCACCTAATGATATAAAATAATCTTGTATCAGAGAGCAAGCCGTGTGACGTTGCCGGCATGTGGTGTCTGGCGGGTCATAGCCAGCAACTCGCCAATTTTGGCGGAGTACGTTGTGTTTGCAATCAACAATGTGTCGACGCTGTATTCAGAGAGATATCCATTGTGGATCAGCTCTGGTAATCTTATATATTAAATTCTCGTGTCATAGTTTCTGTTCCCATACTCCTCAGAAACGGCTTGACCGATTCTTATGAAATTTTGTGAGCATATTGAGTAGGTCTGAGAATCGGACAACATCTAGTTTTAATCCCGCGCGGACGGAGTCGCGGGCGACAGCTAGTATAATAATAAAGCCTTGTTTATTTCCATACCTTACTTTTACATTGAATACTAGTTGTCGCCCGCGACTCCGTCCGCGTGGAATTAAAAAGAAACATAATTAGTAGCCTATGTATATCAGATTGTGTTCTATATGTATGCCAAATTTTATCGAGATCCGTTGAGCCATTTTGGAGATACCTGCAATACCACGACCACACAGAAGACACGTCTTAAGAAGCAATCCAAATACAATCTGATGGATGTGTCTTAGTAACCTATGTTCCACATCCCTTCCTTACTTGATATTTCTAACCAACATCCGCGTTTCGTCTGATGAGTGTGCGTCCCGGAGGCCTAATTTAGTCCTCTTTCTCTTCCCTCCCTTTTTCTTATGAGGAAAGGATGGGAAGTGGAAGTGGACTTTCCGGATGAGAGGATGCATGGAAAGGGGAAATATTTTCTTTCTGTGCATCCTCTCCTCCGTGGATTAAAGGTAGGCAACGCATATGCAATTGCGTATGTCTATGGGCAACGGTCACTTCGCTATTTCAGCGATTTCAGGTGGCCGTTCGCTCGTTTGCCACCTTATGATATAAAAAAAAACCATACATCCAAACATTCGCATTTCTAGGGATCGTGGACCCTTCCAGAATCGTGCTGCCGTCAGATTCACAGTACAGGCACCAAGAACTAGATATACTAGAGAGATTGTTTTCCATTTTGAAGATTTAGTCGGTAAGTGTACAAAGCGTTTCAGAATTGAATCGCAAAGCATCAGCACATTCCTCTGGTATTACTGATGTCCATGGGCGTCTTTGAACACCTTAGTCTTCCCGCTGCTCGTTTACACCCTTATTTTATAAAACAAAGTTCTATATTTCATTTAGTTAACTTTGATATAGAGTTCTAAAATTATGTCTAATTTTTTTTAATTTAGTCCCACTTAACAGATTGAAGTCTCAACTAAAAAAAAAACATAATTAGTAGCTTACGTGTTCTTCCAGACTATGTTCTATATGTATGACAAATTTCATAGAGATCCATTCAGTCGTTCTGGAGATACCTTCTAATAAACATCTAAACATTCGCATTTATAATATTAGTAAGATTTAGGGTTTGAAGGACCTAATCATTTCAGGCCAAGTGCGACTTCACACATGTCTTTGACATTTCTAGACAGATATTTGCATTACGATGTTTTCTTCATTGGAAGAATGTTATTATGTTATACTAGGTGTCGCCCGCGACTCCGCGAGGATATATAAAAAACTTAATTAGTGTAGCACATCCATCCATCCACATCACATCCATCTAAACATTCAAAAATCAGCTCTTTAAGGCATAAATCCAAAAAAAATAATAAATAGTATCCTATGTCCGTCTCCTGGCTCTAAGCTACCTCCTCAACAATTTTCACTCATATCGGTAAAGCTGTTCTTGAGTTATAAATAGTGTAACTAACACCACTTTCTTCGTCTTCTTTGTCATCTGTATTTGAGATTTAATCATTATTTTCAGTATCGTTCGGTGGTGCTGCAGGACTCTTTTTAGGGGCTAGTTTTATTAGTTTTGTTGAAATCTTCTATTTTATTTTAGACAAGATTATCAAAGCTTTCCAGAAGAAAAGTAACATAATGGTTAGTAACTTCTTACTGTCTCCTTCGAGTCTTCAGGCGGGGAATTAAAAAAAAACATAATTAGTAGCCTATGTGTTCTTACAGACTATATTCTATATGTATGACAAATTTCATCAAGATCCGTTCAGTCGTTCTGGAGATATCTTCAAACAAACATACATCTAAACATTCGCATTTATAATATTAATAAGATTGGTGTTGGTCAAGAAAAAATTTTAACCTAGTATTTTCTTACAGGTTGCAAGATCCTTTAAAAACGGAAATAGAATTATGGTTAAATCTAGAATTAATCTGAGAAAGAGTCAGTTCCGTTTAAATTAGTCACTTAAAAAAATCATGACTACGGATTTATCAATTGATTTTTATTAGAACTTGAATCATTTTACTTACAAATCCATCCTCAAATACTATACTATTGAAAAACAAACCTTATTTCCTTTACAATAAAATCGAAAATCATCTTTACAAATATTGTATGAACAAACCAGACAACTTAGTAACTCGATGACATCATTTATCCAACAAAAATATGACTACAATCAACCAAATAATTCTAATTCGAATTTGATATCTAATTCAATAGTTTTAAAGTATAAATTCCTTTGTTTCTCTATGACGTCGAATCAGGCGTGGCTTATGTTGTACAAAACAGTCCTTGATTACTATCATTTCTAAGAAACCTTGGTTCTTATCAATATGATAAATGGCGACCGTTAAATTTTATTACTACATAACCGTAACTAGCCATGGAATACAGGATTGTTGAAACCTAAAAAGATCCTGACTACTAAGGGAACATACCCATACTACGTGACCTATTTTTTAGTTTTTTCGACCCCTCCCTCCCCTCGGTGACCACTCGTAGTACATGCTAACACCCCCCTTTAGTTTTTACGTAGTAATTTCACAGGTAAAATTGACAAAAGAAATTATTTGGCTCTTACTCTTCTTTATAACATAAGACTGCATGCATTCTTAAATTAGTAGTGAATTATGTATTATGAAAAAAACAACTAACGATTACGTGACTAAAATCTGAGCCGTCCCCCCCCTGTACTGTGACTGACCGTAGTATTTTAAAGGCTCCGCCCACCCCCCCTCCACCCCTAAAAGGGTCAAGTAGTATGGGTACGTTCCCTAAGGCTCTGAGTTAGATTGAAAATTACTGCAAATTGGGTTCCTGAGACCAAAATCTCCGTTTAAAATTATATGTTCGATAGAGATTTTTGGTCTCAGAAACCCATAAAACAGAATGACCTCCTAAAATGTTAAACCCCAAAAAGATAACCTAACTTAAATTACATCTTAAAACTATGACCTAGAAATATGAAATAACCAATCATTAGATTAGATTTAAAAAAAAACATAAAACCCTTATTCAAATCATCCATCATAGACGTATTTTTTAATTTTTATTATATTTTTTATTAGGTCATTTGACTATAGTCGTTAACCATCTAATAACAAAAAAATTAGACAAATCTTTTAAACCAACATTTTAATTTTAAGCTAATCTGTGTTTTAAAATGGATTTATTACTAAATAATACAGAAAAATATGATTTTGAATGAAACAATGTTGGTCCTAAAACGATACCTTGCGATACACCATAGTAAAATTTATTTAGTTACGCCCTTATCGTGTTATCGCGTAACGATATCGCCCACCTTTACTCTGAATTTCGAAATATTGATAAGATATCAAAGTAAATGCTATGCGATGTTTTTTAAATAACTAATACATATAGGGCTAACGTATCAAACGCTTTAGTTACATCGGTGTTTTTTACGGGCGCGGCGTTAGGACATTTCGTCCTATAGTGTTTTTTCTTTTTTTATTGTGAAAGTGCTCAAGAATGGGTTACAAGGAGTTTTTATTTATTTTCTTAGTCGGCAGTGTTACTGGACAGATTCGTAAGTTATATAATTATTGATAAAATGGATTTAGATATAAATTGTTGTAAAGATATGATTTTAGTATAGTTTTTTTAGCTTTTTGCATGCAAAAATGTAGATTTCTAAATTGGAACTATTTTACGAATGTTTCGATGGATGTTTGTTAGAAGATATCTCCAGAACGGCTCAACGGATCTTGATGAAATTTGGCATATATATAGAACATAATCTGAAAGAACACATAGGCTACTTATTAAGTTTGTTTTTAATTCCGCGCGGACAGCACTGGCAACAGCTAGTAGTATTATAAATATGTAGGAAATTAATTACAATCACAATTGGTGAACCAAGAGTTCAAAGGGCTAATATTTTTCTCACTTATGGTGTTCCGTCGGAACCGGACTCTCACTTATAGGTTCCAGCTTTTCCTGTTTCGATTGTATTGTCAGACTTTAACGTACAAACTAATCTTATCTTTTAAGTATTTAATATTGTTAAACATAATTATCTTTTTATATTAATATATTAACATCAAAAGTTTAAGTTGCTACAACGAACGTATGGAAAGTTAATACGATTAATTATGACCAAAAAAAAACTGAAAACACTATAAACAACCAATATCTTAACAGAAATTAACCAACTAGCCAGGTGCAATACCACGACCACACAGAAGACACACTTCAAGTGGAAGCAATTCCACCTACAGTCTTATGAGTGCGCGTTCCGGAGACCTAAGATTAGTCCTCTTTCCCTTTCCATCCATTTTCTTATAAGGATGGGTTTAGTAGAGTAGGGGATGAATATTAAGGAAAAATCCTTTTCTGTGCGTCTCCTCCATCGATTAAAGGTAGGCAACGCATCTGCAATTGCATATGTCTATGGGCAGCTGGTCAGTTGTTCGTTTGCCACCTTATCATTTAAAAAAGACTCTTCAAATTGAAGTAATCCTACGTTTCGTTTTATGAATGTGTATTCCGTAGGCCTAATGGCATGTGTAAATATATATATTTTTATTCTAATAATGAATAAACTATAGAAATCGTTTTAATAGTTCTTATGTTCTACTCAAACATGTAAAATGATCTAGAGTTATCACGTCAAACGAAATACTTATCACTAACATAGGTAGGGCATTTGTTTGAAAGTCATATGACGATTTGTAGATAAGGATTAATTTATATAATACTTAGTATTATATATTATGAGATATTGTACATAAGGGCGTATACTTGAGTAAATTTATAATCACCAGTTGTGTAAATCAAATTTGAATCGATTCAAAAGTTCAACGCACTTGAACCGTCCAACTCAGAATGTTAGTTTCCAACATTAAGTAGTAATTTATGAAAAACCTAGCTGTCGCCAGCGACTCTTAAAAAGGCCTAAATTAGTAACATATGTGTTCTACCAGACTATGTTCTATATGTATGCCAAATTTCATCGAGATCTGTTCAGTTCTGGAGATATCTTCAAACAAACATCCATCTAAACATTCGCATTTATAATATTAGTAAGATATTTTGAAATATTATACTTAAGGGCGTATTTGACCATACTTGAGTTAATTAATAGTCGATATAAGTCATGTAATCAGCTCTAATCTAGAAAGTACAGCTTTGACAAATCATGGCTATTGAAAACACGCATACTTGCAAAATGATTTCTTGACCGATAACGAAACATTTATACTGAATGTTTGATGATACATATTTCTTTTGACGACCATAATATTCTTCGGCTTTCAAAGGGTTAAAACACGTGTTTAAATATATTCTACGGCTAAAACAGTTTATTCTTAGCACTGTATTTACGAGAATTTTTAACTATTTATTTTAACAGTCAGATTAGTTTAACAACAAATCCCATGTTGATAATTTGCATTAAAACATATTAATTAAATTTTCAGATAGGGTCTGTATTTCTACATCAAATCCAGTTCTCTGTCAAAGCCTAGACAAAGATGGCAGTCGAGCTGTCTGTCAACCGGTTGAATCAAGGTAACTACAATTCTACTAATTTTGCTGCCAATTTAAAAAAAAAACATTTAAAATAAGGGTTATATTCGTTTTTCATGTAGTGTCAATCATCCCCTTGTGATTGTCCTACTTACTTGGGGTCGGCGAACAAGGTTTCAGTCCTCCAAATCTATCTGCCATCATCTCCGTCACCCCCTTCTTAATCATAGCAACTTTCACGCAATCCATCTACTCCTAGACCTACTTCTATCTATAACCCTCCACACTGACACTTAATCTTCTTCTTGCCACATGCAATTCTTCCTCATAACATAACCATCATCCTATTAGGGTTGACTAGACCATAGTCAATGCTGGCCCAGTGCAGTGACTTCACACATATCTTCTGAATTTCTTCTCAGATATGTGCAGCATCACGATGTTTTCCTTCACCGTAACGTCGGATAAATGTACATATGTAATCGGAATCGCACACTAATCTTTTAATTATCTTCTTTCAGAATTGACTGCGCGCTACGATTAGCTCGTAACTCAGTTGATGTCGGAGTTTTCTCTGAGGAAGAGATGATGCTGCTATCACAAATGCAACCCAAACAGAGTGATAGCCACCATTAGAGATGTTAGCAGACCAGGTACCAAATGAATGTCATAAAGTAGTAAACTTATTAACGTCAAATTCCATACATGGCGGCCATTAAAATACTTCTTACTAATATTATAAATCAGAATGTTTAGATGTATGTTTGTTAGAAAATATCTTAAGAACAGCTGAACGGATCTCTCTGAAATTTGGCATACATGTAGAAAATAGCCTGGAAGAACACATAGGCAACAAATTAAGATTTTTTTTAACTCCGCGCGTACGGAGTCGCGGGCAACAGCTAGTTTTACTAGTAATTGCGAATGTTTGGATGGATGTTTGTTAGCAATTATCTTCACATCTGCATTGAACTTGCTGAATTTTGGCATAGATGTAGAACATAGTCTGGAAGAACCCAGTTTTTTTTAACTCCGCACAGAATAAGGGGGGACCACAAAACTTAAGTAGCATCAGAGAATTTAAATAATAATAAACTTTCCAGAGCCATACGCTTTCGAAGCTGTAGCCGTTGTACCCAACAGTCACACTGGAGGTCTGGAAGGTCTACGCGGAGGCAACTATTGCCATCCAGGCTTCGATGAAGCTGAGGTGCGCTGGTCACCTCGTGTCTTGAAGACTTTCGAACGTGTGGTAAGTATTTTAAGTAACTGTAATCTGAAATTCATAAACTTTTTTCTCAACTTTTGAACTGTAAACTCGTATCATCATCATCAGCTCACTGTGCGTCCCCACCGAGGGGCTCGGAGCCTACCCTAAGTTAAGGGTGAATAGGCCATAGTCAACCACGATGGCCAAGTGCGGGTTGACTTCACACATATCTTTAAATTTCTTCTCAGATATGTGCAGCATCGCGGTGTTTTCCTTTACCGTAAGAACGTCGGACAAATATACATATGTAAATCGGAGTTTAAGAAGGGATCTCGCTGAAATATGCTATAGATGTAGAACATAGTCTGGAAGAACACATAGTTTCCTCGCAGACGGAGTCGCGTGCGACAGCTTTGTATTCTTAATCTAGGTTGCCCGTACTGATCGTTGCCCTGACGCTAACGTGGCCGGCAAGACCGCTGAGGAGTTGGAACTGGAAACTCTGACCCAATTCTTCCCCAGAGCCTGCAGACCGGGACCTTGGAGTGCAAACACCACTGTTGATACCAACTTAAGTAAGACATTAAAATTTCACACAAAAATCTTATTGTTAAATCCAATATATGCTTAAAGAACCTTACTTAAACATGGGTAACTCAGCTAAAATCAGCTTTGAATCGATTCAAAAGTTCACAAAGTCTTGAACCTTTGAGCCGCTCAACAACTAAATTGCTAACTTACATCTCATACTAAAATTATAATCCGACTAGCAGTTCGCACCTCGAAACACAAATCA